GATGTCTGTAGTTCCTGGGTGCCTTTTGTGAATTGATATAAGGTGAAGGGACTTTATGTTATATATAAAGTCTGCTAGATAGCACCTAACAATGACAACATACAACAGATTTCTGTGTATTTTCTGAAGTGAGGCAGATCTCTCTCTATATATCTTAGCAGAGATTGTTAGTTGATCTTAATATCCATTCTCCTCTTCTCCCATACTTTTTGATCTAAGTACTTGTCATAGTATATTAATTCACCGAATTTTAACTTGTCGTAGTATGTTAATTCACAAAATCTAGAAACTAGAATGCTAACAGATTGATAACTGTTCTAAGTCCATGGCAATGAAATATTTGTTTGTTTTTTGCTGTATTAAAATGATTTGATATGTGAAGAATCATGGACCAGATTTCAAAAACAAAATTGAATGTTGAAATAAACAAAGAGAACTTACAAATTATAACACTAAGTAGCAGTTTTGAAAAGCCCTATCTTCAATGATAACAATTAATTGATGGAATAGTTATTTGGGAAACGAGTGTGATCTTGAAAACATGAGGGTGTCATGAATAAGAAATTATTATTTTTTTTTTCAAGTAAATTTTTAAAATTTAAAATTAAGATTTTTCTTCATCCAAGAAAAAATTTACCTGAAATATTTATTATACCTTTTTCACCTGAAATGAATGGCAGTTTTCCTTTTTGATGTGTTCCTTGTAGTTACTAACTCTTATTATTTTTATTCCAGTTTCTTACCTTCCTGGTTTCAAAATGTCCCTTATCACATGTATCTCTTCCTGTGCTTTAACTAGGATTAACTTCAATATTTTCATAAAACACACAATTTCAGAACTTTGAAATTCAGAAGTGATCTTGTTTTAACATTTTCTACTAAGTGAATAAACACTCAGAGGCTCTACTACTTATCCTATAGTTATATCGCTGGGCATAATTTGTAAAATAAATGTAGTTCCCTGCCTCTCATTATGCCACAACACCTCAAACTTTGTGAGCTTTTCCTATTATCAGAATCTACTTTCTCTTGTATAATATTTGAATGGTGTTTAAATTGTTTGAAATTTTCATTAATTTTATCACAAGGAGGATTTCATGTAGTTGACAGTGTTATTATTTTTCAGTTTGAATAGCTATAAGCAATTCATTTGAGACTAATCTGACCTTCCAAATTTAACCTATAGCAAAGAAACTACACCCAGAAAGTACAGCCAGCTACCTTTTCATTCGCTCATTAATTTTAGATCAAAATGCCTTTTCTCGGGTCATAGAACCTGAACTTATCCAAAATTTAACCTATAGCAAAGTTAACTTTTCCTAGTAGTTATATGTTAGAAATTCTGTTGAAATTTAACTTTTTAAAAATCATTTTAAATGTGACTAGAGAGAAAATTAGTATAGATTAATATCTTGTATATATACTTTCATCAGGAACAGCTACTAATAAAATAATCTTCCCCAGAACTATACTTACCATTGAAATTTCCCAGACATTGAGGAAATATGAGGTTTAAAGTAGAGATAACGGCTTTTTTATATTAAGTACAGTATGTTAAATAGATGTTTATTAACAATTAAAAGCAAATACAGAAAGAAATCAGTAACTTAGTTCTATATAATTTCAAATTAATTTAATTTATAAATTTGTCTTAGTCACAGTAACTGAAGGCAATGGGGAAGAATTTAAATTATATTTAGAAAAATCTAAAAAACAAGCATTAGAAGATCTGTTGTCAGTCTAGAGCTCATGATCCAAATACAGTATTGTTTGTAACATGATTTTAACTTTGAGCAAGTAATCAAAGCACTATTAAATTCCTTCAGAACTAATTGAAACATTTGCATGGTTTAGTGCCTGAAATCTCATAGATTTAGAGCTTAATGCAAAACAAGAATTGAAAAGATTATGAATGTTCAGCATGAACTTGAGCCAATGCTGATCAAAAGAAAATATGTAAGACAAAAAAGCCCTTAGGAAACATTACTCAGTGAAGTGCCACTTGTCCTTAACTGGAATTTACCACAAGTCTCTAAAGATGACGCTCCATCGGAAGCAGCACAATCATGGCAGCTGGGCATGCCAGCTACAGTAACTCAGCCTGTGTGTATTCTCTCCTCTCAGATGAGGTGCTTTCAAACCAATCAAAATAAATCCATTTCAGTGTGTCTTTATCTTCCTCTTCCTTCTTTCCTCCTTCCTTATTTTCTCCCCTTCTTCCTCCCGCACTGAAAAAACTCTGATTCAGGATAAATTCATCTATATCATTTTATACATACTCCCAGCTGTATATTATTTTCGACATTTAGACATCTAGAATGCTAAATTTATACTTTCGCTTTGTTTTCTTTTTAGATTTTTTCCTTCTCTGTTGGATTTTTACTTTAATTTTTCATTAAATATAGCCATCAGTGAAAAATAATGGAGCTTTTATGTCTCCATTAGCAAATACCACCATTCATTTTGAGCTTTTGTTATTTTATTTTTTGTGTTTCTTACATATAATGATAACATCGATCTATGTTTACAGCATTGATAAGCATGGAATTAATTTTGAAAAATTATTTTTCCTTACATTGTTGCTTAGTGATTGTGGTTTAACATAAGATTGTTTTGGCTTAATCTCAGAATACCCAGTGAAGTTAGCCTTTGGATTAGAACAAACATTAGCCTAATATGCTTTACATGGTGCCCTCTCAGCCAAATTCTGTCTGCATTAACCAGTTTGTTCTATGACAAGTTGCTTAACAGATGTCATTCTGGGGAGAACAATGAAGCCAAATACTTGTGCAATGGCTAACATTACTCTAACTTTGATCACTTTTGTTCAGCACATCAGTCTGGCGTTGTGCTTTATACCAACATAACACCATAGCCAGAACATGCTTTTCAGGCTCAGAATAGCAAAGGAATGTTATTCAGTTCAGTGTAGTTACAAATGAGTTAATGAAAGAAGAAAAATACTGTTTATTTCATAATGCCATATTGTTGTATTTTGGAATTAAGGTGGAATTTAAAGAATTCTATTCCAAAGTTTTTTGTTTATATACTCAATAGTGTTTGCACATATTTTCCAATGCTGGGATAATCTTGTCACCTTTCCAACAATGTCAATATTAGTCTTGCTTTTCAAAAAATAGCTGATGAAGCCTAATATATGTAGATAACATAATTCATGGATAACTTTTAAGAAACAAATTTTTTTGTCATGAAGCCTAACATCTCCTCATACCCCCCCCCCTTCTGTCCTTTGGCTTGTTTTTATTAATCTGACTTGGGTTTGTAGAATACTTTTCTTCTTAAGTGACCAATGTTTAAGCATGTGACAAAGTAGTCTCAACTAGTGGACTTTTGTAAGTGGTAAGCCCCGTTGCATTTAGTTAATTATCAAGTTGATAATGATTAATCAAAATTATCCAAACTTGATGTGATTGACTACAAATCAGATACTACATGGTAGGCTGGCCATTGCTAATAATCTTGGAAGAAAAGCTGTTTGTTTCAATTGAGTGGGAATCAAGCCATGCCCCAAGTTCTTCAGTTCTCATTTACTAAATCTTATTTCACAGGTGTGTGTTCAAGATAAAAATAGATTGAGTTCCATGCTGTTGATGGTTGTTGTTTTTTTGTTCCCCTTTCCTAGTGAGCATTTATCTCTGTTTCACTGGAAGTGTAACTTAGATGTGTTTATATATAATAAAGAGTAATGTGATACAAAATGCTGTAATTGGACAACATGATATTTTAGACTTCTGCATTTTTAAAACATGAATGAATGCTGCTTGTTTTTCATATTGAGATCCTACTATAGAACATATTCTGTGCAACATTTCACTGCTAGGTTCATTTGTTACAGTACGGTAACAATGCCAGAACTAAGCTGAAGCATTACAATGGAGTATCTGTTTGTGTGATTTAATTTACTCTTGGAGTCCTAGTGTGGTGCTATAGGATAAATATAGACTGCTAACTGCAAGGTGAGCAGTTCAAACCCACCATCCACTCCTTGGAAATCTTATACAGGATTGCTATGAGTTGGAACCAATTTGATAGTACTCAACAACAACAATATAGATAAGAAGATGACACATGACATGACACTTCTTAAGTATTGGATTACATAGAATTCAACCTTCTAAAATGTTATTCTGATAAATTACCATCTGTCCTTTTAAAGTGAAATATGTAATGATGCATGCTGGAAAAAATATTTTTCATACTTAAAAGCACTTAAAATTGAAAGTATCATGACTATATTTTCTTTTCAGGAAGCCCTAAATAGTATATTAATGGATGGGATTGATGTTAGTAAATATGATAGTTTTAAATTTAGTGTCATTTCAAAGAAATAGGATGTGCTGTTTTATTAATTATGTTTTATAGATTTGTTGTTTTTGTTGTTAATTACCATCAAGTTGGTTCTGACTCACAGACATTCTCTTTAAGGTTTACAAGGAGCAGCTAGTGGGTTTGAACTGCTGACTTTGTGGTTAGCAGTCCAGTGCTTATCCTACAGCACCATACCAGGAATCCTTGTATATTAAAATATAAATAAAATTTAAGGTTTATTCTTTTTGCGTCTTCTCCCAATACAACCCTTTTCTCTCCCAGATAGGAACTAGAAATATATACTTGTTTGAATCATTGTACATTTTGAACCATTTGAAAAATTAAATAAATTATAAAAGTATATCATTGTAGTCTGTTCTATGTGAACTGTGTACATGAAAAGACTTGACTGAAAAGAAGCTTAAAGTTAGCCAGTTTCTAAAAATAATAGGGCTGGTGGTGGAGAATGGCACAAAATGAGTACTGTTTCTTGAACGATTTCATCTATCCTTCATTGTATATCTGCTTTTAAATTTGATTTACTGTTTTTTCTCTCTGTTTTCTGAGTTTCAAATTCTTGTTAGGAAAACCAGTGTGAGTTATATAATGTCACATAAATTGTTACATAAATCATGTGGGACTCTATTTTAATTGTGCTGTGTCTCTTACAGGTAAAGAGGAATGTATATGATCTTACAAGTATCCCTGTTCGCCATCAGTTATGGGAGGGCTGGCCAACTTCTGCCACAGATGACTCCGTAAGTGTCATTTAAGTGCTCAGTTTTCTGTCTTCCTTTTTTTTTTTTTTTTGCCACTTCAGTCTAATTGACTGTGATAAAAAGCAGAATCAAATACTTTGAATGTACCATTGAAATAATTCTGTAAATAAAATAAAGTGAAAATAAGAGATGTTGCAATAATTTGATTCACTTGCAGAACAGTGACCATAATACCAAACATATCAATATTCTTTCAGTAGTGATATTGTATCAGTGGCAGGAACTTGTTACTGCTTGGTATGACTTAAATTTTTTCTTGTTGAGAAGAATATTTTCAGGTATTACTAATGAAATTTTCAACATAAAAGCATTTCACTCTAAATTATAGCTATGTCAGAATCAACTTAATTATTATTTTTCATTTTTAAATTACTTTTCCCATAGTAGACTGATGCTTTAAAAATAACTAAGTTTTACAGATAATATCTATGACACTTTATTCTTAAATAAATGTACAATTTTGACTACCATAAAAAGTTGGGGGTGGGAATATTTAGTCTGTTATTTTTACCTACTGTTATATCAATTTATGGAGTCCTGGTGTGGTGCTGTGGCTTAATGCGCCAGACTGCAAAGCTGTTTGAACTGCAAGGTCTGCGGTTCAAGCTCACCAGCCCTCCTTGGAAACCCTGTATAGGGTCACTATGGGTCGGATCCGACTCGACGGCACTTAACAACAACAGCAACAATATCAATTTATACTGATTTTTCCCGTTATAAATTATGAAACCTTTCCTGTCTCTGCCCTGTTTCAGTCATTACTCTTTTCTAAGAGAGTAATTTTTTTCACCTAAAGATACCAACTGAAATTAAGTTTTGGTCATTTTTGTTCATAATCTTTGTTGTTCTAATCAGATAACTATTTTCTTTTTTAAATAAACAATGAGAATGTTTTTTAAATCCTGAGGCTAAATCTGAGTTTTAAAATTATAAAAAGAAATTGGGGCTTTGTAAAAATCTTATCATAAAAAATACTCAATTATGGGAAATAATTTAATTAGCCTTTCATATTTTCTGGTAAATAATTCTGTTTTGGCTGATAATAACTACTTCCTTCCCAAACCACCAATATACATTTTGATATAATGGAATTTTTATGGAAAAAGAAAAAAAATTTTAAAGGAATTTAATTATATAGATGCTATTTTTAGTTTGATTGTTCCATAATGTAAGGATCAGGCCTTTGGAAAATACTGTTTGGATTATGAAACTGTAAGGATAATCAGAATATAGCAAAACTTTAAAAATGATCCCTTCTAGAAAATTCATTTATGTGTACCTATTTAACATTTACTTTTAAACAACTGATTTTAGCATGGTGTGGCGCTGTGGGTTAATGTGTCAGGCTACAAAGCCGTTTGAACTGCAAGGTCAGTGGTTCAAGCTTACCCGCCACTCCTCAGAAACCCTATACAGGGTCGCTATGGGTCAGAATCAACTCAACAGCACGTAACAACAACAACAACAACATCATAGTTATTAAGTGCTGTGGAGTCTGTTTCCATTTCTAGCAATCCCATATGACAGAACTGTTCCATAGGGTTTTGTAAGCTGTATTTATTATGGTAACAGATCACCAGGTCTTTATTCTGTGGAACCACTAGGCAAGTTCAAACCGCCAACCTTTTGGTTAGCAACTGAGCACTTAAATCATTATGCTACTATATTATCAGAAGTTTTGTCTGATTGTCTATGACTAAGGAGAATAGTAAAGGAGCCCTGGTGGTGCATTGGATAAGCACTCTACTTCTAACCAAATGGTCAACAGTTCAAATCCACTAGCCAGTTAACAGGAGAAAGTATGTCAGTCTGCATCTGTGAAGATTGGAAACTCTATGGGATAGTTAATTCTACTCTTTTCTACAGGTTCACTATGCGCTGAATCAACTTGACAGCAATGGGTTTGGTTTGGGTTTTAGGGCGTAGAGATGTATTTGGATTTTTATGTTGTTATGTTTTCCTGTTGGGATGAAGAATTTTGTATAAAATGTGCTAGATAAAAATAAAAACATAATGCTTATAAATGCTTATAAATTTTACTTGAGAAAACATGAAGAAACTAGAAATTCTCAGCATTGTCTTAAGAGACTTCTACAAGAATTAGTTCCAATAAAAGGAAATAGTTAAGGCTTCATGTGGCACTGTGGGTTAATATACCACACTGCAAAGTCATTTGAGCTGCAAGGTCAGCAGTTCAAGCTCACCAGCTGCTCCTTTGGAAACCCTATACAGGGTCACTATGGATTGGAACCGACTCAATGACATTTAACCACACTAACAAATCAGGACACTTAAATACTCTAAGTCTTAGTTACCACTTTGTTGTTGTTGTTAGGTGCTGTGGAGTCGGTTCCGACTTATAGCGACCCTACACAGGGTTTCCGAGGCTGTAAATCTTTACGGGAGCAGACCGCCTCATCTTTCTCCCACGGAACTGCTGGTAGTTTTGAACTGCTGACCTTGCGGCTCGCAGCCCAATTCATAACCACTATGCTTAGTCTGCAGTATATGGCGCTGTGGGGTAATGCACCAGACTGCAAAGCCATTTGAACTGCAAGGTCGGTGGTTCAAGCTCACTAGTCATGCCTCAGAAACCTTATACAGGGTTGCTGTGGGTCGGAACCGACTCGACGGCACTCAACAACAACAACATTGTTATGAGGAGTCATAATTATGTAGATAGATAGATAGATAGATAGATAGATAGATAGATAGATAGATAGGTATAGATATATAAGAAAGGTGAGGCTTTATGCTCCCACAAAAAGATTTAAAGCCTCTGAAATCCTATATAGGGTCACTATAAGTCGAAACCGACTCCCTGGCACTTAACAACTCTGTGGCACTTAACAACAGTATAGTACCTGAATCATGAGAGGTGGGGAGAATCAGTGGAAATAGAGATAAATTCAGATTCACCTTCAATTGATCATTAATGAAGCTGGTGATAACTGAGTTTATTATACAGATCTCTCAACTTTCATATATATAATTTTAAATTCCTTTAATAAAAAATAGTTGTCTGGTTTAAAAGTAAGGATTCAGGTAATAGAGAAAGTCTCATGGGGCCTCAAAGGGCTGGGAAAGCTAACTGTTCTTGGATACCACACTTCTAAGAAGACAGATTAAAATCAGGGCTTTGAGCCAGTTCTTCCTGGTTCAGTCATGGTTGATGAAGCAAAACCAGAACAGATCTTAATTTGTAAAAATGTGTGTGAACAGGAATAATAACTAGAATGGGAAAAGTTATGGGTTGACACCCTACTAGAAACTTAATATCACTGTTAAAAAACAAAGACGAGCACAATTCATAGCAACAAATTATCTTTACTTGCAGAGTCATAAACAACGTGCCCTGCTCAAAATATGCAGCCAACTGTGCCACTTTGTGTATTGGTTACCACACCCATGCCAATAATCCAATCTCCCACATCATTCTTCTGAAAAGGCTCACTAGGCCTCTTCCAAGTCTTCCATTCCAGGACTTCAATTCATAGTTTTTCCTGTCTGTTCTGGTTACTGCTCCATTTCACCCAAATTTTAAAATGTTTGGTCTTTTCTGATTTTGTTGCACTTACCATAACTGAACTGATTTGAACAGATTCAAAGTCCTGACTGAAATAGGTACTTATTAAGTGCAAGTTCCAACAGTGCAAATTTACTGAATAAGATTTTTTTTCCCTATAGAGTAGAACCTCCCACTATGCTAAATTACTGAATTGAGTTGTTGAAGTTTTTTATGAGGCTTGTATTTTAATTATTTTTTTAACATTTAATTACTTTTTACCAGAGTTGCAATATATTGTCATTCCTTTAGGAAAATATGGAGAGCAGAGAAAACTCACAGTATCCAAGACTGCACTGCTACCTGATGCCGTATCTAAGTCACAGCAAACATAAGTGGGAATCCCCATTAAGAGACTTGATTCTTTTTGCCGCATCATTCATATTTGCACCTTGTCCCAGAACCTGTGAAGTGGTTCCTGCCCACCCCTCCCCAGAGCAAATGTTGCCACATTTGCAGGTTATTGCTTTGAGCTGCATAATTTGATACAACAAAGATGTTTAGGGCCAGACTGCTTTAAACTAGTGCCACACCAGATCCACTATCTCCAACACTTCATTTCTAGCAAAAAATATGGCTTATAACTGTAGTCTTCTGAGTATCTCCTAGCCAAATAAATGTCATAAAACCTTTCTTTCATTTAGGACTATATAAAACTCATAAATCTGGTGCTTGTAATCTACATTGTTGCAGGCGGTGGTGTTTTTATACTTACTGAAATCACTCAAGTGGAGGCATCTGCTACAAAACAAGATAATCTTCACAGCTTAGGGCATGAATTGAGTACAGCTGAGAAATGTCAGCTGTGTAAACAGCCTGAAATGTGTTACCAACAAAAATATAATTAATTTCTTTCCCAGACAGGGTGCCATAACTTAGTCCTTAGAATGGTTTAACTTTCAGAGAAAGCACCTGAACATTTTCTTCCTAGTGCCAGAGTGGAGGATTGGTTCTAAAGGTCATTAAAAGTGGAGTTAGTTTGTGTTTTTCCTTCTCAGCTGCAGAAATTTGTGTGGCTTCAAATATACAGTACCTTTAGATACTAGTGGCTCCCATAAATTTATGGACATATCTTTGATAAAGAAGTTAATGGACTTGGAGTGATGGCAGTGTTCTAAAATTAGATTGTGATGATGGTTGCATAACTGTAAATTTATTAAACATGATTAAATTATACACTTGAATGAATTTTATGCTATGTAAACTATACTGTAATAAAGCTGTTTTTCTTTTTTAAAAATGTTAATGAGAGAAACTAGATTGGAATACTTTTCATTATACTTTTTATGCTTCATGAGAAATATTTTGTATAACATAAGAGATCTTTTATTCAATGCAGTTCTCATTAACCTTTGACTTAGCAAAAGGACATGGAAATAGACTTCTTACAGTATAATTAGATTCCTGTATAATC